CTCCCCCACCCACACAGCGCTGCCTCAGAGCCTTACCCCCGCCCCCGTGTACCCTTTCAGGACTGTCCTGGAGACCCCTACCCCAAACTCTTTACCCTCTGTTTTGCCCACCCCAACCTCCTGTCACCCAAACTATTCCCATCAAGTCCTTCTCCAATGACTCACTCTTATCACTCAGAACCTCCTTCACCTCTAGATTTCTCCACTCCTCCCGGGGACACCCCTCCCCTTCCCCGGTGGACCCTGCCCTGTCACCCATAGACTCCTCAACCCCAAGACCACCCCTTCTCTCTACGTCCTCAACCTTCCTCGCAAAACCCTTCTCTTACACTTTCCCCCAAAATTCCCTTGCAGAGCCTTGCCTAGGAGCCCTCTGAGTATTCACTTCCCTCTCTTGGTTAAGCTGCAGTCGGCCAGGTTGATCCCTGTAAAGGTCCCATGTTTCCCTTTGTAATTAAAAAGCAATCTGTAGGGAGACGCTTAGAGACTATGTGAATTCCCTGGTTTCGTTTGGGAAGATGGAGAGCAGGAGAAGACTAGTGAGAGTTCCGCCTGAAGGGACAGGAGAGGGATTGGTACGGACTGAGGGCGGGATGGCTAACCCGCCCCGGGCCCATGTTATTGTGTTGTCTTCTCACCCTTAACACTCTCCTCTCTTGGGTCGTCTGGCCCTTTCTTTTGTCTTGTGTTCCCATCCTAACCCTTTGTCAACAGAACTTCCTCACTCAGCCCTGGTTGCTCTGATCCAATTCTTTTCCACATTCTGTTTTCTTGATGAAACCTTGCTTCCTCTCTCTTGATATAATTAAGAACACAGATTGTGGAGTCAGGTGCATCCAAGTTTGAATCCCAGCTCTACTACTTAAAAGCTGTACGATGCTGGACCAATAACTTAACTTCTCTGTGCTATAGATTTTATAGCAAAAAAATAGTAATAGCACCTACTTCACAGGGCTGTGGGGAGAATTAGACAAGGTAAAGCATGCAAAACACTTAGAATAGGGTCTAGCAGATACTAAGTGCACAATATTATTATTACCAGACCCAAGGCTTTTCTCATCACTTTTCCCTTCCTGAGACCACCACACGCCTGTCTTTCCGTTCCTTTCATCCTCCAAGCTTGGCCACCTCCACCCCTTCAACCCCTACCTTCCCACACCTGACTCCTTATTCCGCTTCAAGACTCAGCTTTAAGTTTACCTTAGGTGTTAGAGTTGATACTTCTCTGTCTCAGCACCCTATCCACATCCTTCAGAAAATGACATATTTTGTAATTATTTTTTGTCTCCCGGGTTATTGTCTATCTCCTCCACTGTAAAAGCAGCCTGAGGGCAAGGACTGAGTCTGAATGCTCACCCCTGGCTCACCCAGCATTTGCCACAGTTGGAAGCTTTCAGTGAATATAGTGTTAATCTCAGCTCGCTTATTAATTCCAAAGAGTGGAGGGGAACCTGGAGGTCACCACTTTAACCATGAATCAAACTTATCAATAAGGAACCAACTGGGCCTCTGACATGATGTACCGAGAAGGGACACGACATCTGCCAAAAATGTGTAACTTGAATCTAATCACAAGGACACGATCGGACAAATCCAAACTGGGGGACATTCTACAAAACAGCTAGCTTGGACTCTTCAAAAATATCAATGTCACAAGAGAAAACAAAACAAAAGTCTAAAGTAGTATCCTCGATTAAAAGAGACGGAGAGATAGAACTAAGTGACGTGTATAGTTCTGGATTCGATCCTGGATGAAGGGAAGGAGGGAAGGAAGAAGGAAGGAACATAGAAAGATACAGCTAAAAGAACATTTTTGGGACTTTTGGGGTATTTGAATATAGGATGCACGTTACATGGTATTGTGTTGTATTGGTATTAAATGTTGTGAGTGTGAGAATTATATTGTGGTTATGCAGGATCATCTCTTGCTCTTAGGAGTTTTCATGCCAGTTGTTTGGGAAAGAACTATCATAGTATCTTGCAGCTTACTCTCCAATGGTTCTCCAGAAAAATATGAGATCCCGTGAGCCCAAGCAAACATGGGGGAAGGGAGCACTTAGAGATAAATGTTGAGAATTGGAGGATGTAGTTGATGCAGATTTGAAATTTTTCAAAATAGAAACTGGAAGAAAATAAAGCGTTTGTGGAGTAAGTGGACTTTGGAATTAAATTCCCAAAGCTGCAAACCTCTCTAAATGCTTTCACACAAGAAGACACAGACATTCTCAAGCCCTGAACGCAGCCCCTTAGAATTTCTTTCTGGCAAGTCCCTGTGAACTAGTCTAGACCAGAGGTTCTTAATCTTGAGCCCTTGGATGAGTTTTCTGGGTTCCAGGAACCCCCGACACCATGTGCAAAATTTGTGGGTCAGGGTGTGTGCGTACGTGCATTCTTCCCTCAGCCTCCATCAGATTCTCAAAGGAGGCCATGACCCAAAAATGCTTCCAAACCACTGGTCTAACCACCTTCAGCTGGAGCACCATTCCTCGCCTCCACCCTCTCCCTCCTCTGACTCCATCTACCCTCCCTGCACCTTCCTCTCATCCTCACCGCCTAACCCACACCCATCTCATGTAACCTGCTCCCACACCTGCCATGATGCCTGAGGATTCACCCACACATCGCTCTGGTGCAACAGGCTCCTGAGTTTGGCTGACACTTCACTAACTCAGCCCTGAAACTTGCAGTCAGTCCTCCCACAACCAAATGGAGTATGTTTTTATGCTTTGTTGGTAGGTAGGTTGGGCACCTCATGAAACTAGCAAAGACCCACCACCTCTTCTTCCTGCCGGGCCACCATTAATGTGCCTGGCATGAGTTAAGATGAGCAATTGGCGACAGTACCACTGCAAGCCTTACTGAAGGAGCAAATCTCACTTGGCTATGGAGAAGAACAGGCTGGTGGCTCCTTATAGGGATGGGTGACAGGGCAGGGAGGCTCAGTGCACCAGAATCGACTTCTCCTAATTACTCTGTGCGTGTGGGTTTGGGGGTGACTATAATTCAGGGTTACACAAGGCAGATGAAAAAGAGCATCATGAGTCAAATGGCCCAGCAATTTTACACGAACTCCTACTATGCCTCCAGATTCTATTCAAACAACCCCCCCCAAAAAAACCCCAAAACAAAACAAAAACAAAGAAAAAATTTTAATCCTTAGAAGAACACCTTCTGTCTTCATAAGGCCCACTTCCAAAACATTCGAGAGATTTGTAGGCTTTTATCCTGTATTGCTCGTTCTAAGAACCTAGTCTAAAAAAGTAATGTAAATTAGGATCAAAGAATTATATTAATAGAGGTGACGATTTGTGTGTTCGATATCATTGAAACCTGCAAAATCCCTGAGGCTAAAAATCATGGAATTTAGACTTTAAATGGGTGAATCGTGTGGTATGTGAATCGTACCTCGAGAAAGCTGTTTAAAAAATACTATGAGATTGGAGCTGTTGTAAGGATTCCCTTTTTGCAGTCAAGGAAACTA